CTGTTCGCATTCTACACTGCAAAAACCCACCTTTATATGAGTTAAGAGAGTAGATTTGCAATAAGATTGGAATTTTATCTAATCCAGCAGAAGTACTTGCATGTGGGCAGCCGGAACAGGGTTTAAGATTGTGACATCTTTTGCAACAGCAGTAGCAGTACTTAATGCGCGAATTCCATGTACTCATGGCACATGGTTTTTCAATCAGCAATATATCTCCTAAAGAAAGCACAGGCATGCAGTAGAAAACTGTGGACAACCAAGAAAGTACAAGGGAGTGCGCAAATCACTATTATATTCTCTCAATTGTGCTTCTATTCATCTCTTCAAATTGACAAGCTAAACTCGGCTCTGTCTTTATCAACAATTTTGAAGGAGATGGATAAAGGAAATACGTGTGTATCAGAGAAAAAAGGTAGTATTTGTACTCTCCAGGGGCTGGCCTAATAGCAACGAAAATGATGTGTAGCAGAGGCCCCCAGTACCCTTTAAAGAAATTAAATTACCTGCGGACACATTTCGTGTTACTTCCATAGCAAAACCTGTTTTGGCACAACCTGTGTCCTTTAACCTCACAATACCATTTGGAGCAGATAGAAGTTTCGAGTTTACGACATTTCTTCTATCAAACTCAGAGGCACCAGAGGACTCAGAATCGTTTATGGACATCTTCTCCTCGACTTCGTTTACACTTGGTGGCTTAGGACGGAAGCAGATAAACCTTGACACATGTGATTGTACCTCACTGCTTGTGTCTGATGGTGAAAGGATTTTACCTAAGGCCATTGTAGCTTTTAGGCTACTTTCCATATTTCTGTTGGAATTCTCTTCGTTAAAGATGGACAAGGCTTCAATATAGTGAGATTTTGCCTCTTCGAGCATATTCTTCTTTTGGTAGGCATTGGCCAAGTACAGGTGGACATTCCCCAGTTTATTTTGTGGCCATGACAACAAAAAATATAAAATCAGGTTTTTAAATGTATTGAAGAGGGTGCATTTTTAAATAAAACTCGAATACTAAATTTAATTCTATCCCAATGTGCCAGTGATCTAATAATAACATTGCGAAATTTCCAAATTTATTACTTTCCTTGATTCCTTTTTAATAAAAGACCAATACAATCTTCCTTTTCTAATTATATTTTTGAGTCTGAATTGCAAAGTAAACTTCAATAGTCAATTGCTATCACAGCAGATAACTCTTAGAAGATTATCTCTGGTTCAATTATTTCAATAAACGGCCCGACAACATAAAAGACTGCCTTTGGATTACACAACCTTCAAGTGAATTTCGTTTACACAAAATTGAGCATCGAATTGATCTTCATTGCTGACACGGCTGAATCACAGAATCGAACATTCTAGAACACGCCTTCGTGGTGCTAATCGCAATAGGGAACAAATTAGGTCACGAATGCGGGGTGTGCGATAGACTTACCTCCACGTAGTGCACTCTGGGCAACGTATACTCATACGGCAAAAAGGTCTATTAACTGGCAGTTGACTTCTCACTTCAAACTACAATGGCCAAACTGTAAGCCATATTCTACCACTTCCACAGTACTCATCCTTCCGCTTCTCTGCCTCTTTGTCTGTCTCTTTTACATCTGCAAATCATTCTTCTATTCCCCACCCCTCAACTTTCTGTTACTTTGATGTTCCTTCCCCACCCCTCAACTTTCTGTTACTTTGATGTTCCTTCCCCCTATCAAAACGCCTGCCATTTGAAATAAATAAATAAGGTCACGAGTGCAGGAATCTTTTAGCCAATCACCAATCAGCTGTCACGGCATGATTAACGTAGGCGAATGCGTATTCAATGACTAAGCGCTGCGATAAACGTGCGCCCCGCCATTCAACTGTTTCCCCCATATCACTAAGGTAGGGTAGGTAATCTCGGGAGCGTTTCCAAACTAGGAGATCTAGTCATAGAGATTACTGAGCAGGCTTATAAATGTAGCAATCCGCTAAAGGGGCTGTGTGCGGTAGTACCAAAGGCGAAAATATTTGCTTATGCGGAAATAAGTTCATTGGGTCATTTAGATTAGAGCGGGACCAGTACTTATTTTCAACTTATGCTACGTTAAAATTCAAAACCGTTCTATAAATTAAGCACTGATGTCGTTCAATCAAACATTTAAATTACCTTAAATCAGAATTCTGTCACCAATTATTGTAAAAGCATAATGACAAAGAGGCACAAATCAAAACCAAAAGAGGCAGCTTTGTTTTTTCTTCCTTTAGTGATTATAATATACAAAGCCTCACACTTCACTGTGGAAACAATATTTAACTCATTTTTTTCCACAATTCCCTCACTTCTTTAGTAACACTTGCTTTTCTACTTACCTTCCCACACCTAGCGAACCATTATACCATTCCCAAAAAATAGGTTTCATTTATACAACTTATGTATTACGCTAAATTAGTATAGGAAGGTAAATAGGTACATACATATGCGGATACATACCTTCAAGGCCATTAATCCATCTTCAATGGCTTCATCGAAAAGTTGAATCTCATGCAGTAGTTGGCACCTTTGGGCGAGAGCTTCTGATAATTGTTTAGACGAGGAGGCATAAAAGACAGCTTTAGTTAGTACATTGAGGCCTGTTTCAAGGTTCTCCTCTAGCATAGCCAGTTTCCCATATGAGAGATATCGTCGTGATACTTCGTCCGATTTCCCATTTACTTGAATCACTTCCTCTTCTATTACATCCAGTCCAAGTTTATTAACTCCCTGTTTTCTTCCTATTAAAATATATGTATCATTGCTTCAATTGCATTCAAAGTATGCACAAACCACTAACTGACGATTCGATTGATTGAAGGAGAATACACACCCGCTGGAAATCCGTCCTAGCCTGATAAAAATTTTCGTTCCAATTATCACAACATGGGCGTAAGGCCTCGTCAATGATGTTTTTAAATGCAACTACAAGCGGTTGTTTGTTAGGTGATTCCAGCGAATTTGTGAACTGTTTAGCTATACGAGTTGCATTCAAGTTCTAGAAATAAAAACCGCAAATAAATAATTAAATTTTGGCTCTCAAGTCGTTTTTAAGGTTTGAAGTGTTATTAAGAGATAAATCTTACGTAGACATTCATAATACATGTATATTTGAGAACAAAATTAAGACCATTTTTCGAAACCCGAGTCAATATTTAAATGAATTTTGAATGGAAATAACTCAAAACGAAATATTGCTTATATTTTAAGCGTATTTTTGAAAAGTAATAAGTGATAAGAATTCGGTTGCTCTAAAATACTTAGTCGGATGGGATGAACATTAGCATTTTTCACAAATTTCCGCATGAATTTCACAAGTACATTAGTTATTTCCAACTTTATCTCCTTTTTTACCGCTGTATTCCGGAATGCTATTACCAATAGACTTCATTGCCTGTTCGGTCAAATTTCTCATTGTTGATGCTGCAGGAAATACTGTGTGGGTCACGTTATCGCTGTGTGCGTCATCGTATGCCTGCATGTCTGCTCGCCAGGATTGGGAGGTGGACCGTACAAACAATGACCAATCATCAACCTCTGTTTAACCTAATCCCATACAAACAGTGACCAATCATTAACCTCTGTTTGTTTAACAGCCAGTGACCAATCATCAACCTCTGTTTAACCTAATCCCCCATCCGTGATCAATCATCAACCTCTGTTTAACCTAATCCCCCATCCTGATCTGAGGTGAATCCCTGAGTGTACACTTTTATCCATAATATACTAACTGAATAAACGTGCTTCGTGCTACATGTCTGTTTCCTTTATAGTTGGGCTACAGCTTAGCTGGTTCTGGGAGTCTAGCTAGATGAGTTTCCCTTATAGCTAGGCTATAGCTTAGCTTGTTCTGGGAGTCTAGCTAGATGTTGGAAATCTTGCCATCGAGATTTCTGAGTCAGTCAGGCTTTACTAAGGTGTTTAGCTGGTTCTGGGAGTCTAGCTAGATGTAGGAGGATCTCCCATTGAGATTTCTGAGTCAGTCAGGCTTTACTAGCGTAGCCAGAGATTTCTGAGTTAGTCAGGCTTTACTAGAGTAGCAATATTTCTGAGTCAGTCAGGCTTTACTAGCGTAGCAATCCGTGGAGCTATAGCTTAGCTGTTCTGGGAGTCTAGCTAGGTGTTGGAGAATCTGCCATAGAGATTTCGGTCAGGCTTTACTAGCGTAGCAATCCGCTACAATGCAATCCGGTCAGGCTTTACTAAGGTAGCAATCCGTTACAATTCTCAACCGGTCTGGCTTTACTAAGGTAGCAATCCGCTACAAGTCTTTAACCAAGGCTTTACGAAGGTAGCAATCCGCTACATGTTCGAGACTTAGGGAGCAATCCGCTACAAGTCTACAAAACAATATACATAACTTCTGTCAGTGACAATTTGTCACTAAGTCACATTCTATTGGTAGGACAAGTAACGTGAACGGGAATAACGTCGATAAGAAAAAAGAGAAACAAGGAATCGGATACCCTGCCAGTACGGGAACAATCTTCCCACCTCTAGTGGGACAATGAAGACGGAGTATGTTTACTGATGCGCCAATGAATAAACAGATCGCCTATGCCCTGAGGCCACAGTGGTCCACGTTTACTAACTGGCATGCGTTTCTGATTAGCTGGTTAGGTTGTAAGCCAAGTGTTAACAGCTGCTGAATTATTTATTTATTTCAAATGGCAGGCTATATGATAGTTATCATTAGTCCTTTACCTGACTTCTGGTTTCACAGAGGGGAAGGAATATCTAAGTTAGAAGAATTCGAGAGAGGGAACAGAAAAGTGATTCAATGATGCAAAAGAGATAGACAGACACAGAGGTAGAGAAAAGATAGGGTGAGTACTGTGAAAGTTTGAAGTTGGAAGTCAACTGTCAGTTAATAGACTTTTTTCCCGTATGAGTATACGTTGCAAAGGGGGCACCACGCGGAGGTAAGTCTATCGCACACCCCTAAAAAAGTTAGCAACACCGGGTATTCCCAGCCGGTCACCCATGCAAATAAATGTGCTCCGAGTCACAAGTCAGTTTCCTCTTAAGCATTGCGATATCTTAGCTAATTCCGGGAGCCTTTCCGAACATAGAAGAATCTGCCATAGAAATTTCTGAGTATAGTCAAGGCTTATTAGTGTACCAATCCGCTAAAACTACAAAGCACTTGAAATAGTCAATCGTCTTCATAAATTTTGAATTAATTCAGGTCTCCTCCTCTAACAACAGAAACAAGAAAGCTTTGATTAAGCTAATGAAGTAATCGTCCTCCCAAATTTTGTCAGATCCGATTATCAAAAATATACCCTTCATTGATATTTTATCTCATATATTGCGGAAAATAGCCGCATCTACACAAAATGGATTCAGCAATGAAAGGCCATATTCCGGAGGGAAATGGAGCGTTCATCATAAACAAAACCAAACCCTATTGAACAAGTTGGGTTCAACAGGAACTGGAGACTTAGTCTAGCTGTCGAATTATTATCAAACATATTTATTTATTTATATTAAATGACAGGCTTTATGATAGTTATTACAAAACCGTTAGTTGACTTCGGACTTCACAGAGTGGAGGAGCATCAAAGGCATCATAAGTCGAGAGGGTTGGAGGAACAGAGGAGTGATTCACAGTTGCAAAATAGACAGACACAAAAGTAGAGAAGGTGAGGTGCGTATTGTAGAAGTGGTGGAATATGACATACAATGGGGCCACGGAAGCTGGAAGTCGGAAGTGAATTGCCGGTTAACAGACCTTTTTGCCGTATGAGCATACACTACCCAAGGTGTACCACGTGGAGGCAAGTCTATCGCACACATCATTATTATTAAACTAAATTTTGGTAAAAATATCACTATTAACGCTAGATATCGATGTATGAAAAAGTATAGTAGAGAAAATACAACCCTTCTCAAGTCAGCATCAATAGTATTTGTTTTCATCAAATTGATAACCAAAACAATGATCTCTCACTCTTCAGCCTTGATGAGGAAATGCAGCTTTTCTAGTGAACATACAAAGTTCCACCTTTTTTGCTTGGCATTTTTGGCTTTTTGGTGCCATTCAGGATCATTGGCTAGCAATTTGAATTTGCGGGTTTTCCACCTTGCGATGAAAGGCCCTAGGCTTAATATTTTACATTTGTAACATTCGTCGTCGTTAAGATTATGCTAAGTCGTGTGAACCACAGAATAGAAGTTGATATTCTGAACACTCTAAATCCAACAGTAAATAGGATAGGATGTGCATAAAGTATTATTATATCAAATGGCAGGCATTTTGATTGTTATCATTAGCCTTTTAGTTGGCTTCAGTCTTCACAGGGGGGAAGGAACATCAAAGTGTAAAGCATTCAAGAGAGGGGGGGGAACAGAAGAGTGTATCAAAGTCGAAGGTAGATAAGGTGGAAAAAAGGTGGGACGAATACTGTGAAGTAGTCGAATATGACATACAGTGGGGCCATGGTAGTTTGAAGTCAACTGCCGGTTTATAGACTTTTTTGCCGTTTGAGTATACGTTGCCCAGGGTGCACCACGTGGAGGTAAGTCTATCACACACCCCATGTGCATAAAGTATGAATTCACTATATGTCGTGTAATGACGTAAGAAACTTAAGGAGAAGGAGGGATATGATTGAGCATGTGCTTCAACTTCGAGGATAATGAAGTTACCGTCAAAGGCATTTGCTTGACTGGTTTCATTAGACCCTCCAAAGTGTCAAAAATGTCATTTATACATTCAAAGCTAACAGCATGATCGTTCTCAATACTTGAAAACAAAGTCTACAGCCACAAACCAGGAGATTGTCGAAAGACCATCTCGCATTCGAAGCGTCTTCAAAACTTTATTCAGATGGAGTGCCGTCAAAGATCGAGCATGGGAAATGTGAGATATCTGTAAATAAATTCTCAACATCAGCAAAAATATAGGAAAAAGCCTCCTCAATCAGCAGCCCTTATTTAATCTCCACCTAATCGTGTTGGAAAAATGCATTTAGTCGCGTTTTCAAATTTAAATGCTTTTAATTCCCTTCAGTCCGACAATACTTAGTGGTGGAGGTGGTATTTTTGACAAAAATAATATTGGCACAAAGCTTTATTGTTTAAAAAGAAAAAGAAATATGAGATTGTGATGGAGGGAAATCGAGTGAAACTGATGCCCACAGAGTGCAGCGCATGACGAAATGTTGCGATAGATAAGTGTGGAAGAGCAATTCAGATATTACGCAGTTTATAGAGCTACCAGAATTGTCCAATAGGAACTTGGGCAAGCCAGACTAAATCATTCTGGAAAATGCAATTGGCCAATCAAACTAAAAAAACCACACTACCTTTCGATCTACTCTGTGGCCCAAAATAGCTGCTTAACCCGCACCATAACTCCTTGGCCCTATGATAATGATTACCCTCTCTAGTCCACCCACTTATTAGGAGTAACCTCGTTTATATCGTTAGTACCACTTATACATAAGGACCTTGAAGTAGACTGGCTGTACCTGTCTGTTGATAGCTAGAACTTTAAGAGGACCATCCGTCGACTTATCTAAATGGGGGAAAGAGCGTTGCTCAGATAGAAATACACAAGACTACACAATCACCAAAAGTTCTTAAGTTGCTTTATTGCTAAAACCTTTTAACAATTAGGTAGTATACACCAAAACAACAATAACTGATTATTAATTATAAAAATGTTTATAATGACATTCCAACATGAAAGCTAACTACACTAAGTTTACAAATGTCCCACTTCCTTTTACTATGCCCGCCTTAATATAATAAAACAAAAGAAGGTCAATTTGATTCCAAGTAAGATAAATGTATCTCTATTAAAGGGCATAAGAGTCCATAACACAAATAAACTTTGCGCACATGAATGTCCTTCATCATGAATTATTCGAAGCATTCACCGTTTTCTAATAGAATATCCTACAAGTAAGAATTCAAAAATTGTTACAGTTTTTCTTGAAAGTCTACAAAGGAATAAAACATAACAACTCACCTGCAGCCTCAATGACACGAATTTCTTCCTCTTGAAGTTGGGGTGGGTTATCAGAACCAACAGAGGAATTATCAATAAAAATGGTAGGATCCACACACCAAGATGCCAATAGTGCCACATTTTCAACATAATTTGGCCTCTTCGGAGTGTCCGGTTTCACGGCATAATGCAGTTTGTACTTAGAAACGGCATTTGCTCCATGTACTAGAAGAGCCTCCATCACCTCAACGTAACCATTGTTGAGAGCCAAATAGACAGCCATATTGAGCTCATATGATCTGTCAAGTAATGATCCACCAGCTTTAATATAAAACATTGCCAAATCAAGGTGTCGCTGAAGGCAAAACACAGTGCAAACATTAAGGGTACGTATATTCATGCTGATGGGCTAATTCATCTATTAATTGCTACCTACTGTTTCCAAAGCCATTAAAAGAGGCGAAAACTCGTGCTCATTAACGTGATATACTGAAGCTATATCGTATTCCACGATGAAACGAGCAATGGAGCTGAAGTTTAGAATTGTCGCATATAATAACGGCGTGTAACCTAAATGATTCTCTAGATCAGCTGGGCATCCACTTTGCAGGAGGACTTTGATACCTTTGGAAAATCCACAAAAAACTGCCACGTGTAGTGCTGTTTGAAAACGTCCATCCTTATAGTGTACTTTCGCTCCAGCTTTCAATAAGATTTTCAGCGTTTTGGAAGATCCTCTCCAACAGGCTACATGAAGCGCGGGAAGTGTGGGCAAATCCCTCTATAAATCATAATTTCAATTATACAGTTAGTAAAAAAGTATTAGCACATATGCTAATAATCTGAGTATGATGCTGAATTATGCTAAAGCCACAATTAATCTTATTTTTAATCATTTGAAAAGTAAGGATATTGGCCGGACACATGGACAGAGGAATAAGAAATTTCGAAAGGCAGACTTCTAGAATAACAATTAATACAGGTTAATTTTGATGGGATAGCAACAACATCCGCAACATAAAACAACTGTTGATCCAACTGGCAAGGTTAAATGTCAGATACATTTTCAGACCAATATAGAGACCTATTTTGACCTTTCAGAGGTTGTCAAATAACAGTCGATTTTGGTCCATATTAATACAACTATTCTTAAAATTGCACTATTATAGGGACATGGCAAGTTGAGAGCGGGGGTGTGTAATAGACTTACCTCCACGTGGTGCACCCTGGGCAACGTAT